AACTTTGAATCAGCTGTTTTCCATGAATGCTGCAATTTATTTGGCATACAATAGGCCAGAACAATGCCACTTCACCCACAGTCTGATGGGATGGAATAAAAGTACAACTGGACACTGGGACAAGAATTGACAAGGTTTTGTAATAGTCGCCAAGATGACTGGGATGTCTTACTCCCTCCACTGTTGATGGCCTATAGGACAGCAGAGCCTGAAGCCACTGGATACACTCCAGCAAAGTTGATGTTTGGTCAGGAACTTCTGTTGCCAGTGGATCTGTTAACAGGATGCCCACCTTATGAAGAGTTGCCTGAAAATGTGTCAGAGTTTGTGAAAGTGTTATCGGAAAGGATGGATGATATTCACCATCATGTGCGTTCAAACTTGAAAACGTCTGCTGATTCTATGAAGCTATGTTATAATAAGAGATCTACTGAAGTCAGCTTTGAACCAGGAGACATGGTTGTATAATCCCAGGAAGACCAAAGGGAAGTCTCCTAAGTTGTCTTCTCCATGGGAAGGTCCATATGAAATAGTGGATCGTCTCTCAGACGTGACTTTCCGAATCAAATGTGGTCGACGAGGTAAGCCAAAGGTTGTGCATGCCAACAGGCTTTGGCGTTATCACGGTCCAGGACATTTCAGTTGGGACGAAATGAACAATTTAACAAAAGACGCCACTGAAGATGTATCACCTGGAAAAGCCATTGTTGAAGAAGAAACTCTACTCGGTTTTGAGAAAGGAAACAGTGAAGCCCTTGATGAAGTTACTACCTCCAATGTGAATATTACTGACAATAGGACATTTCCTGATGGAGCAGATGAACTTTACGTGAAGTGGAAGCCAACGAGACAGAGACCAGTATGGAAGAAAATATGTCCCATAAAATTAAAAGACTTTGTTGAATTTTAATTTTATATTTGTAAATTCTGTACATTTAATTAAGTTATTGTTAATTATCTATTGGTTTAATTTAAGTGGCTATTGTTCGGGAGAAACAATACTAAGGAAAGGGCAGTGTTACGACAACGGAGGTCACGTTACGCTGGTAACACATAATGAGTATCTGGAAAGATCTAGGAACTTGTTGAACATCCTAGCGGTTGCTAGAATGGCGCTCTTATAGTATATAAGCCGGCAAATAAAGTGACAGCAACAATTGAATAGCAGACAGAGAGACTGACGATATAGATGGACAATTGAGTCAAACAAATAAAGTGACATCAACAATTGAATAGCAAACAGAGAGATTGAAGATATGGGTGGACAATTGAGTCAAGCACGGTAGTAAGTATAGTGCGTGAATCGTTTGTTGAAAATTATAGCGTGTGTTTAAGTTAAAGGGACTGTGGAAATTAAGTGTATTGCAAAGTTGAATTGAGAAAGAATAAACTAGTTTTATTGTGACAAAGGACTTGTATCGCTGAAGTTCTTCAGAAAGAATTTTTATGAGTAATTAACTAACAACCAGAGACGTAACAATATATTTTAGAACTTTTTTAGCATAAATACTTAGAAAGTAATTATATTATTTGATTCATAAAGAAAAAGCTCAATTTTTTCACCTTAGCACATGTCTGATAATTACAGATTCATCTGTCAAGTTAATAGAGAAACTGTTCATCACTCTGTTATTTAAACAGTGTATAATTTGAATAGGGTGACCAGATATCCTGGATTGCTGGGACAGTCCTGAGAAAAGTTTTTGGAATTCAAAAAACGTCCCAGTTTTATTATAAAGACAAACTGTCAGTCACATCAAGTCATGAATGTAATAGGCCTACTTGCCTTGCTCACTAGTGTAATACCTACGCTTGTGTCACCAAACACTCTCGAAAATTCCATCTGTGTATCATGAGAAACTCAAGTCTGAGCAGGTTTTTTTAGTTAGAAGTACAATAGTCGACCTATAGAAGTTGGTGAATATATGTTTATCACCAACAAAGTAGTTGAAATTATTTCAAAAACAATGCCAATGGTAATATATTTGGAAATAGTGTGGAACAATTCAATGAATTTAAGATAAATTGAATGAAAGTTAAAATATTTCAAACTTATTATAACCATTTTGAAATTAGGGGCAAAAATTGGGCTTTGATGGTCATTTTAAACTTGACAGATGTTTTCTTAAAGGGGGATAAAATGGGTATAATGTTTATTGAATACAATTTTATTTTATAAGAACTCTTTAACTCAGGTAGGGTGTACATTTATACATCTAGTATCATAATGAATTGCCTACAGACTTAAAAATATATCTCATATGACCAAAACACATTATCAATCAGCAAACACATTTATAATATATTAGATAACTTTTGAGCCATTGTTTCAAAATATGAATATCGTTCAATAAAAAGCAATATTATAGATTACTCAAAATATGTCCATTCCTTAGTTAATTGTTTATATCCACTGTAGTGAAACTAATATGCAGAAAACTTACGTGCTAAATGATTCAGGTTGATGTTTCTTCCGACCATTTTCTAAATATAAGATGTTTTCTTTGTAATTCCTGTATATGGAATTTATAGCAATAACAAAAGAAAACAGAATAACAAGAATTATCAGCAAGAATTTTAAAACATCATATATCATGTATCGGAGAGAAACACTCAAAGGTCCAAGTTTTGTATGAGCTTCGTACCAAAACAAAAGCCTACAGAAAGCAAACAGCGTTCCTAGTGCATAAAGACCCTCTGCAATTAAGAAACAATGGAATGGGCTCCACTGCTCACGAGTTAAGTATACAGCTGTTTTGTCCACCTTAGACATAATATATAATCCAAACCACAATGCTTCAGCAATGAGAAAGAAACTAAATGTGATCACATCATAGACTGTCCAGAAAGACCTAAAAAACACTTTTGGTTTCTGATAGTATACGCTACAAACTAGCTCTAGTGCATATCCTACAACCCAAAAGCCTACAGCCACTTCTGACCATCTCACTGGATGAAGAAGATCATGTATTTCATTGTACAGTGAAGCAATCAAAAACATCAGAAAGTAAACGTAGAACACAACAGAATAAATGAATCGATTCAAAGGTACCCGTAGAGGCTTTTTTAAAGTTTCAGTTTTAAATAACACATAAAACAGAACAAGGAATGGAGCTATTAAGGCATGAGTAAGAATGTGCCTGGTTCGTCTTGTAGTTGACCAGCTCCACCAGTCTGATAACTCTCCAACCCAAACAGAGCGTATTACTTGCTGACAATTTGGATGTGTCACAAACTAAAAACAAAAGAAGACAAAAACTTAAACAAAACTCTAAATATCTCACAAATACAAATAATTATAAAATGCTTGTAAAATTAGATTGTTTTAAATACTGACTGAACATATCATTAACAGAGAGGGTATCATAATTGAAGAATCAATGCATTTTAGTAACTCTAGAGGATAGCTTTTGTGTAATTATCTATGACATTATTATGTTACATAGAATTAGCTTCATTATCTTAAAAGTCAGTTTTAGTCTGAGATATATATATACATAGCTTACTTTTGACAAGAATCAAGAACTGATAATATTGACTTTGTTCTTTGATAGCAGCAATATACAGTATATATACACATCTGTGATATACAGAGTATAGCTAGTGTGATAATATATGTTAGTTAAATAAATCAATATGTAAAAATTAAGTCTTGCCATACCAGTCTGAAATTAGTTTCTCTTTTTTCCATATAACTATTATAATTATCTCATATTAAGTACCATTGGTCTTAAAATATTTCCTACTACTACATGTTATCAATCTCAAAAGTGCTGCTCAAGTCCTAGTATATTATGTGGTTGGAAATTTTTTTATATTAACTCCTCAGCAGTAATGTTATTTCATGTTGCATTAATTTATAAGACAAAATGTATCTATAAAACTTTTTTTGACTTTAAATAAATAATGAAATAATTTTTCAGGAGTCTTTTTTTTTTGCTGTTAGGAAGTTTATTAAACCTTTAACTTGAAAGCAGAATTTACTTAGTCAATCTCTTGCTTCAGTTCATGCGTGGGAAAGCTCTCTTATACAGAGGTTCTGTCCTTAAACCTAAAGAAAAACTGTAGGTAACAAACAGGTTTAAACACACACACATATTACCTGCATCTGTAGATACACCCATCAAATGACATTTTTCAACCAGTACTTTATGATCAAATAATATTTTTTCATATAGGATAGACTTATGGCAAAAATATATTTTGTCACTTCAACTGTACATGCCATACTAACATTAGTCTTATTTAAGTAATTATGAAGTATTTTCTATATTACAAAAAAACAAAAAACAACTGGATAACCATTGTTACACAAGAACTTCTTGATATTGTTAAATTTTTATGTAAGACTTCATTTATACTACATATTTTATATGCATGATGAAATAATATTTTATCTAAATTTTCTTTAAAATATTTGGAATGAAACTTGCAAAGTTGAAATACAAGCCTTTACATATTTTCTTATGATACATTCCACATTTAAATTGACCAATATTATTATTAATTAAAGTGTCTAGAAAGGAAAGTTTATGATACTGCTGAACTTCATGCTAACTATGTCTACTTTTCAAAAAGTGAAGAAATTGGGAAGCTTGATCAGAATTCTTAAAAACAGTGAAGGAGTTATCAACTTACCTCTGATAATAGAAGTTTAAACTATTGTGGACATTTTTCTAGGTATTGTCTTTCTTGAAAACACAAATAAACTGGCTAAAGATGGTGTCAATCTCGAGCCCATAGCAACACCATCAACTTAATCATATAGCTTTCTTTTGAAAGAAAATGAGATTCTTTAGCAGCATAGTTCATCAATTTCAAATACATAGATTTCAGAATAATCACATTGAAAGGTTGTGATGGATAGATGGAGATTTTTTGGTTTATTTCTGTGTTTTGAATACCTTCCTTCTGTAACCAAAATCTTCTAGACAGAGCATGATCTCTACATTCACGTCTCATTTATCTTCATTTGTCAAAATTAGGTTCATATTGACTGGCCCAAGTGGTGGTTTTGCTCAGAGCACCTGATATAACATGAGATCTACCACTGTTTTGGCCACTCCTTTATCAATTAGGAACTCTGTCTCTTGTCCATTTATTCCAACAGGCACTTACCAAGACCTACCTAGCTCCAAGACAGTTGGGTTGATCACAACATTTATTGATGCAAATTGATTTTTGCACTCCTCCAAGTTGGTGGTCATTCCCATATTGGGCCCTTCTAGTTTCCTGGAGCTGTATTAACAGTACCCACTGCCTGCTATTAGTTCTCCTGTACTTGTTGCACCATTGGTTGAAACTGATAGCTTTGCCTACCTTGCTGCTCAGTAAGGTATGGGCATTTCATCTGAAGGTGACCCGACGTTTTACATGCAAAATAGACGTTTCACTCCTTCCTCAGGATGACTTTCTGGCAAAGTCATCAGTGGCTTGGGAGGACTGGGATGGCCCTGCTCATTCAATGAATACTAATGTGATTGGATTGCAGTGCTAGGATGTGTGGCTGGTTGGTTGACCCTCAGCTGAACTTGTACCTGACATGACAGGGTTTCCTGGGTAGGACATATGTCCCATGTAAAGTCACTAGAACTTTAGCTACACGTTTCTTCCTCTCATATAAATGACTTGAAGTTACAACTTCATACTACATCACAATAGGTACTGAGAGAGAAGATATCTTACAACTATGTGATGCTGCATCATCTCACTGGGTAACCTTTTCATAAACATGCAAGGTAAGTCTTATCATGCAAAGGGTGAAGCTCATCCATATAAGCAATTCATCCTGAATTGGACCAAGGATTGCTCTATTTTCCACAGAGTCAAACCTCTGGTGCAACTCAATAATGAGTTGCTCCTGATTCAAGTGTTTGATAGGTTCTAGGACTAGACCTTCTAAACTCAGAACCAGGCATTTTATAGCTTGTTCCAGAGTCTAGACATTTCTGGCTTCAGAAAATGGACCAAATACTCCTTCATTGCATCTATGAATGTCACCAGATTCATTTGTTTTGCTTCACTCCTGGGGAGGTGTGGTTATGGCCAGATACTCCCCTTCATGGCTTTCGATCATCAACTGACCAAGATGTTTTCAATATCATGGACACAATATTGTATAAGCTCTCAGGGACCCAAACATTGTGATGAATGGTAGGCCCTTTGCTCTAGAGTTGCAGAATGATAACTCATGCTTAGTAGTTTGTCCTTTAGCTCTACTCTATCTTAGTCTCCTCTGTGATCTATGACTATTTCTGCAGCATAGCTTCCGGCTTAGAGAAACCCACCACTGTTCCAGGATTCCTTTACTTCACAAATTAATGCCTGCTGTCTCACCTGGTCGTGAGATCACTCCTGTTGATGGATGACATCAATTGCCAGCACCTACAATCTCTCTCAGCTTGTCTTGGGTGTCTTTGACCAGAGTTGGGGTTGGATTAGTAAGGTTGGTGTAAGCCTGGGAGTTGTATACAAACCACACCACTCAGTCACAGATTCACCAGTTCCATGGCTAATATATCCTCATTCTGTAAAAGACAGTAAATCATCGATTAATGTATTTAATTTGAAATTTACTAAACTTTTCCATTTGTGTATGCTGACTCTCTCTCAACTGTTGGAAATTTTTTTTCCTGTTTCTTTTCTCGTTCTTCTTGTTTCATTTCTTGTTCCAGTTGCCACTGGTGCTGGTTTTTTTGGCACCGCTGTAGTCTCTTTTCTTGTTTATTTTCTTTTCCCTCCAACCACTGCTGTAGTCTCTCTTCTTGTTTATTTTCTTTCTCTTCCAACCACTGCTGTAGTCTCTTTTCTTGTTATTCTTGTTTATTTTCTTTTTCCTCCAACCACTGCTGTAATCTCTCTTCTTGTTTCCTTTCTTGTTCCAGTTGCCACTGCTGTAGCCTCTTTTCTTGTTTATTTTCTCGTTCTTCTTGTTTCTTTTGCTGTTTTTGTATTGCTGCCATCAAATCTGCTAAGTCGTACTTTGCTTTGCCACTTTTTATTTCCATCTTTTTTTTCTCTTTGATCCCACTTCTGACACCAATTTGTTATGTATCTGCTTGTTTGTTAATTTCCGTAGAAATTCTTTCCGAGAAACTTCAACGATTCAGGTCCTTTCTTGATTAAAACTAGTTTATTCTTTCTCGATACAAATTTCCACAGTCACGTTACACTTAACAACCTTATAACACACGCTATAAATCACAGCAATTCACACACTTTACTTATGATGCCTACTGCTTGCTTGACTCAATTATCTATCTCTTCAATCTATCTGAATATCTCTTCAATCATGCTGATTTTTCACGGCAGGCTTATATACTAAAAAAGGGAGTGCTTTGAACAGGAAAATTCATGATCCTTCCAGAAACTCCAGCACGCATGCTCCCAGTGTCACGTGACTTGCGCTATCGTAATAATATGTTGTAGGCCTAGTTCACAAATAACATTTCAACAGAAAATCCTTACTAATGGTATTTTAACTAACTTACAAATTCAAGACTTGTACAATTCCATGGCTAATTGATCAAGTGAATGAATATCCCCAGTACATCTCATTACTAACATGATCTTGATCAGTCACTGAATACTCATTGACTTCTCATTTTTTAATGTTTCACTGATTCTTGTATTTAAAATTTACCCCGACTTCCACACACAAACAAATCCTTCTTGACAATTATATAATCATCATTATCAGCAGCTTCCTCTAGCAAACGTATAAATTACAACATTCAGGCTTATGTCACTGCCCACTTCCTGGACTATGAAGTCCCTTGAATATATTTAATACAAAAATATACACAACACTGAACTGTCCTTTTGTCAAGTTGTTTTAATAGTTGTCTGAGGCTTATGTTGTCACTTGTTGCTTTGTCGTTTGGGGAATTCTCCCAAGGCAGATGATCAAGTGAATCCATTGGTGGCTCTATCATTGTTGATCATCTGTAAATGATCTTGACAGGAGCCTTCGGCTCCTCAACAGGTTGAATTTTCACTGACATATTCTTTGCTAGAGTTACCCACCTGGAGCTTCTCTCACTGACGTAAAAGATGATCATGGTAAATGACTTTTAGCTTTGATTGTCTGTCTCTCTGGATTCTGTAAGCCATATCATTAATTCTTTTCAGCACATCATGTGGCCCTTCCCAACATCTACTTAAGTTTGGAGTTTGTTCTTTCTTGTGGTGTGAATTGTAAAGAAAATACCATGTCACCTCAATAGAATCCAGTCTAATAAGTATTAACATCATAGCAAATTTTATATTTATCTGATTTGAGTTTTCCCATGTAAAGTCATGTATAACCTCAATGGTGTTCCTTAGTCTCTTGGCATATTCTGTGTTAGACACTGCTAAGTGACTATCCTCCAAATGTGATTACAGAGGGTCAATGGCTCTTTAAATTCTCTCCAAACATCAGTGACGATAGTGCCTTGCCTGTAGTTTTATGTTCAATAATTGATAAGTAGTAATGAAAGATTTTGATTCCAAATGTTTTGTTTGTTATCAACATAAATTAACTCTTTGATTATATCTCTTCATCATGCCATCAGAAAATGGATGAAGGGCTGTTGTACTGGTCTTTTTAAAACAAAGAATCTGCCATACTTATGCAATCAAGACTGATTCAAAGTTCCATTTCTGATCTGAATGATGTTCCATTGCCCTATCTCTGTCCTGTGCACACATGCAATTCATAATGCTAAAGTGTCTGAGTATCATATGGGATATGCAGCTGATGCTTGTGAACATGGTAATAGGAATTGGTTGTTTTAATTCAACGTATCAGAGTAGAAGAGAGCTTTATGTGAGCATCACATGTGATGTTCTAAGTGCATGGAAATGATAATGGGTTACGTTACTTTAGCTCAAGAGAAAATGTAAACCAAGGAATTGTAGTTGCTAAAAATCTTCATTCCACTACTTTTCAATAATACTAAAAGTATATTCTTCACTCATACCTACTTGGTTAAGTAATGAAATAAGCATATCCATAAAAACCATTAAATGACCTACAACAGGGAAAGGGATAGACATGCTAAATTTTGAAACAAATTTTCTGATGAGTTTCTTTGCAAGGGTTTTTGCTTCCTGGTTAGTAACAGCACATGTCTTGGCCATTTGGTGAAATAGTCCTTCACAACCATGAGGTATCTATTCCTAATGTTACTCTATGGCAGAGGACCAAGCACATTGATAGCAACTCTCTCAAGTAGTGCTCCAACACAATACTGCTGTAGTTGCCCATCCTGCTTCTTTTATAGACTATTTTGGTCACAGCACAGTTCATACATTTTACACCATTTTTTACAGATCCCCAGCACCTAACACAAAAGAATAATTCTCTTACTCCTTAATACCTAAGTATCCAACCAATTGGAGATTGTGGAGATGATGGAATTCCTCAGAACTTAGAGAGTACCAATTGTAGTCCCTCTTCACTGTTATTTTCTCATTTTCAACATAACAAGATCTCTTTTAAAAATAATGAATCACTATGCCCAGTATATGTTTATCTTTGGACTATATGAAATGACTCTTTGCCACGAGGGCCTTTCTGCACTATTCTTGAGCCATTGAATGATTAGTTTGAGGCTTGTATCTTTTGCTTGGGCATCTTTCAGATGAGTTGTCACATCTTGGGCAATATTCTGTTGTACTTTAGGTTAGTCATCCCTGTTATCTTTTGCTTCCCTCTTTTCACAGTGTTTACATTCTTCATTAACACACTATCTTTGGGACAATACATCAGAACTTCCATGATTCCATCCAGGGCGATATACAATGTTAAAGTTGTACTTCTGAAGCCAATTTGTTATCTAGTCTTCTGGATTGCAAAAATTCACAAGCCACTTCAGTAGTGTGTTTATTTGTCCAAAGTGTAATCTTTTGACGAAAATAACTTAAGGTTCAAACAACACTTAGTAGCTCTTTTCAAGTGGTACAATACCTTCTTTCTTGCTACAGTAGGCAGTCAAATGTTCTTTTCAACACTGTGATTGTGGTAACACTGGTCCTACTGCAAAATCACTAGTGTCTGTACCTAAAATGAATGGATCTTCAAAGAGTTAGTATGGAATTGAGTAAAAACAAGACAATTGTACATTTCATAAATACATAATTTATTATGACCATGGTTTCACCAGTAAAGGCATCATCACCTAAAAATGATTTTATAAAATGATGACAGTAAGAGCACAGTCCCAGGAATTCTTTATCTCATGCAAATTATTTAGTGCTAGCCAATGCCCAACAGATTAAATCTTAGATGGCTTTACAGAGACACTCCCTCTCTGCTGACTATGTGCCCTAGGAAACTTGCTTGTTGATAGAATAACTCAGATTTCCTGGGATTTAGTTTAAGGTTTTATTTCCTCAACCAATCCAGGACTTCTTTTATCCAATCATAAGCATCATCAAAGATCTTACATATGAAATTATGTCATCCAACTAGATGAGTATGACATTCAGGATAGTTTAGAACTTTGTGGATCCATCCTTCTTCACAATTACAATAAATGATGCCCAAGATTTGTAATCAGTTCTATTTCTCCTTGTTTCTTCATGGCTTGGATCTCTTTGATAGTCTTAGCCTATTTTACAAATGGAAGTCATCTGGCTAACTGATGTATTGGGGCTGTATCTCCAGTATCAATTTCATGAGAAATTATATTTGTGTGGCTTAAGTCATGAGGTCTACTGGAGAAAGTATCTTGATATTCCATGAGCAAGTCATATGATCTTTACCATTGTCATGTATAAGATCTTCACAGCTCTGACCATCCAGTTCTTGTAAGTGAGGTGGTAAGCTCCCCTTATGCAAGGATTTGACATCAGACTTTCTACATCTTACATCAAAGGTGACTACATCTGACGTTCTCTAACGTAGAAGTACTGTACAGTTTTACATTTTGCAATATCCCATACAGACAGTGGTGTAAGTATGCAGGGGTGTCTGAGCCAAAAGGGAACAATCATAGGGAAATAAATGTAGAAAAAACAATTACTTTTCATACAGGGAGGGCCCATATTTTGTAGTTATTCCACTACATACAGACTTAACTTAAATTTTATGATTCGTAGGGTTGTACTATTTTAGCTGTAGAAACAGTCTATAAATATACTGTGAAGCTTCCCATCAATAAACATATGAACTGGTTTTTTAAATAGTGAACTTCTTATCTCATTTGGGGCAGATGGAATATTCTCATTCCGTTTTCCTGATATCTGATATTAGCTCTTCACTGTTCCATTAATCTGGTTGAACTAGAAGAATCATTGTTAGGGCATTGTCTCCTTTTTGTATTAAAACAACTGTTGATTTCTCAGTCTTAGCTGTAATGGCCAGGTTTCCCACATTTATAACTGTAATCCATTAAGGCTGCTTTCAGACTCTATGACAATTAATAGTAAACAACATTTAGGTGTAAAACACACATATTAACATGATAAATGGGCCAGAATTAACACTTATGTGATTTTTTGGCACTAATGGTAATTTAGGTTTTCACAACAAAATCCTAGAAGCAATGCTGAATCACATTAAATTCACTGACTTTTCCCATTTGTGTGTATAAAACTGAAATACCCTAATGCTTCCCAGGCCAGAAACCCAAAATATAAAATTCATTGACTTCTACCAACTTCCCCGACTGTTTGGAACCATTTAAACAACAATGTAGCAAGAACACACTTACAAATCATACACATGTAAACAATCTTTTTAAAATGTTTGGGTCGATGCTTACGTAATAGAAAAAAAAACATACCAATAACTTTGAAAATATATCATTTTTAACAGGCAAATATAGTAGTACTCCTTTAGTAAAAATAATATGGATGAATTTGGTAAAAAAAAATTATAGAATTAAGTAACAACCTAATTCAGTTTCTGGAAATGTTTTTTTGTTTATGCTGTTAAGCCAAATAATATTCTATATTTTAATAAGCCTAGTTATGATTGAAGATCATATAATTTGGGACTTGACTTGTTTTGACATGCAAGCATTATTGAAAATCATATAATTTGGGATTTGATTTGTTTTGGTATGTCAGTATTGTTGAAAATCAAGCATCATCAAATCAGATAAAATTTGAATCAGAAATAAATCTCATACAAGGACAAAAATTTAAGATTAAGAAAAGCAGAATCACTCCATTATGAAAATCAATGTGGTTTGTGGCAGATAGATTTAAATTTAAGATAAGCAGTAATAAGGAAAAACAGAAATTCAAATTACATAACTAATATTCAAAGTGTTTCACATATGTGTATTTCTTGACATTTTGTCCACTTAGATATATATGTTACTTAATGCATGCAATAGTATTGAAATTAAATAAAACCCAGTTTGTAAAATAAACAGTGTAATAAATCTTCAGCTAAAAGAAATACAAACGTTTTTTAGCTGTTTATACACACACACATCTAAATTCTCTACTGCAACTATACTGTTATGTATTCAATATACTGATGTCATACTTTTTAATAGCAAGGTGTCCAACTTCACTTACTTGTTTTTGCTTCAAGTAAATAGCATGGTTAAGGCGTGGGAATGGGTGAGGTCTTGAATCAATACATCCTTCTTTCTGACGTAGAATAGTTTTAACTTCTTTTGTATCACGACACTGATCCAGAAGAGCTGCAGCAAACTGGGAACATTCGACTGAGAGTTTTTCATATTCATCCTATTCAATAAATTTAAAATCAGGACTAATCCAGTATGCTAAGGCTCTGTTATCAAATTCACCATAGTATTTCAATTTATTTACTATTGAGGACAATTTAGTTTTATATAAATATTACTTCCTACAGTGTTTGATTTGTTCAGCACATTTTCTTGGGATTTTCAGGTATTTCAATAAACTATCTAATCTACTGAAGCCTTGATATTTAAGCTTTATATTTTTGTCATATATATATTAAAGTAGAAAAACTTCAACCTGCAAAAATTATCTGTTCTGTTCCCTAACCTGAAAAGCCTGTGATGATGACAAATGGATGATACTCTTCTTAAAGAGGTTAGTTAAATGTTCTTGGATTGGATGCCCTTTCTTTATAGGTGTATTTCTTGCCTTAACATTGACTAGCTCCACCTCTTGGCACACACCCAACAATGCCACTTTCCTAGGTGTTAGCCACTGTTATGGGAACTCCTTGATGACCT